GGGGGTGCCCCCGGAGCGCCCGCGCTGCCTTTTTTACCGCCAGGACACTGGGGCAGAATACTTGTCAGATCTGTGTTACCTCACATCCTTTTTTTTTTAAAATTTTTTATTTTTTTTCCCCCCCGTGCCTTCCCCGGGATGCGTAACGCGCAGCGGGGACCAGAAACTTTGCGAGGGGGTGTGCGCTGCCCGGGCTTGGGGGGAGCAGAGCTGAGCCCCCGGCAGCAGCGCGGGGGAAGGCGATGCCCGGAGCCCCCGAGGATGCCAAGTGATGGATGCTCTGACCCCAGGGCTCTGCTCGAGGTGCTCTCGGGCGATGACGTTTTAAATGCCAGAAAATTTTCACCGCGAAAGTACCAAAAAAAATATTTTTTTTCCTACCTTAGCGCGGCACTAACAAACTCTGCGGGTTTTTTAGAGGCGTTTTAGGTTTGTTTTGTGGGTTGGGTTTTTTTTGCAATTTTTTCACATCGCCGAATTTACAGAGACTTATTTTTTTTTAAAGAGGAAAATTTGCAAAGTACTCTGTACCATGAGAATAAGAACATTTAGTGTGATCTGGCTTCAAAACCGAATACAGGCATTGGCTGGCGTTTTAGCTGTATTCGATATTCAGTCACATTCCCCATAATTGCACACTGAAAAAATAAAGGCTGTAGATGAAAACAAGAAACGTGAAATCGTTGCAAATCTCGGCTGCGGAGCCTAAAAGTGCACGGTTCTCAGTAAATTATGGTGCTTTATGTCCACGGGTTTTTTTTTTGCTACCGGGGATCCACTTCAGTTTCTGCTGACAGCTAAGCACTAGGGTATTGACTGTGTTGTGAATATTAAGATTGATTCCGCTTTATATTGCATTATATTACCCGGGATAAGGGGAATGATCCCCCTTCTGCCCTCCCTCCCCACCTACCTACGTTCTGCCTCGATCAGCTCGTAACCCGTTTCCGTCCTTCTTTGCCTGGTGTTTGTTTTCTGCCTTTCCCTAAACTTTCTGCCTGTCCTGCTCCGGAGCCAGCCAAGCAACCTGCCCTCGATGTTCAGACATTTTGCAGCAGGCAGATTTCAATTAAGGAGGCAGGCGCAGGTCCTGCGATCACTTTATTTGCAGAGGGCTTAGCCTCGCTGTTTTGAAAGGAAAGTGTAGTCAACCACATGTCAGAGGTGAGCTGCGAAGAAAAACCCAAGTCCTTTCAGCAGCGGGGATTACTGGCAGAGGGTGTTTGGTGAGGCCACCGCCGTCTCGGAGGCAAGAGGGAACCTTGACAAGAGACTTTGTGGTCTGAAACGTTTCGGGGTGTTTCGGTGATAACTTCTAAGTTGGGATCCTGCCTTTGTGCTGCAAGTAGTCGAGCCAAGTTTGCAAGTTATCTCTTTTGTGAAATCGCTGAGAACCAACAAAGAGTGAAGGCGTCTGCCTGCCCAAAGGCAGGATCCTGCCAGCCCCGGCAGCACGGCAGGGACAGGATTAATGCACCGGGTGATTGATGGAGATGAATCCACACCCCCA